TAATTTCTATTCATATTTATTTTTACAATTCAAGGAAAATTATGTATAAAATCTGATTTGCTTGAAATTAGATATTTACTATTTGAATTTGGGTTTGCATTAGTGATGGTCGTATCCGGATATCGGACTACCGGATCCGCCGGATCCGAGCTAGAACCGGCACCCGATGGGATCCAAAAAATTCCGGATCTTGGGTTGGATCCGGTTTTGATGGATCCGATTTTTTCCAATTTGTTCCCGATTTTTTACTAACACAAAGCTGTCTGTATCCATGTACAAGACCGATTTTCCCCCGATTTGTTTACTAACACAAAGCTGTCTGTATCCATGTACAAGATCGATTTTCCCCGATTTTTTTCTAACACAAAGCTGTCTGTATCCATGTACATGACCGATTTTTTCCCGAATGTTTGTCTCCTGATGCAAATAACTTATATGGCAAGGCCATGTCTCGGTGTTTGTCTCTTGATGCAAATAACTTATATGGCAAGGCCATGTCTCGGTGTTTGTATCTTGATGCAAAGAATTTATATGGCAAGGCCATGTCTCAGTGTTTGTCTTTTGATGCAAATAACTTATATGGCAAGGCCATGTCTCAGGGTTTGTTTCTTGATGCAAATAACTTATATGGCAAGGCGATGTCTCAGTATTTGTCTCTTGATGCAAATAACTTATATGACAAGGCCATGTCTCAGTGTTTGAATTCAGTATCGTTCATAGTCTATATAATGATGAACGCCTACAAGATGAAGATTCCTACAAACGATGAACGAGGATGCTAGCCGAAGTGCTACTAATTTTAGTAGGAAACATAGATATACTTCAAGCATTGACTATATACCATTACTAGACTTCCCGAGTCCATGGTAGCAGCCTAGCGGATGTGGCTGGAATGCTGACAGAATGGTATCGCTCGCACTCATGTTGTGGCGCTGTGTGGTGGTCAATACGAGAACTATCAACAGCTACGTCGTTCAACAATGCTCGATATCAAAGCAGGTGCGTTCAGTTTATTACGTTGACTTTATTGATCCACTACTGGGGCAAGGCTTTCTGAAAAATACCCGTCCTTTACAAATTTAGTTGTGTATGTTTTTTAGCGAATTTCCCATATTGGGGTATATTAGCGAATTTCCCATATAGGGAATAAGCTATTACCATAGTACTCATGGTAAGAACTGGACCCAGGACCGATTTGGTTTTTCGTTTTGAGGTCCATAGAGACCAAAATCACCATCCGTTCAGAATCATATATCAATTTCATTGTCATCATTGCCCTATAATTATCATAACTAATCAAATAATTAAATTTTATGTTAATAGTTTAGTAAGAAATGAATGTATTTTCCAATTTAATCAAAATATAATCATAAGCAAACTACAACAGTTGACATTCTCCATAAGAATAACATGGGAATTTGAAATTTACAATTTTATGGAATTTTCTCCGTAACCATTAAGCGGCTAATAACGCTACAATAAACTAAATTATTTGGTTTTTTTTACTACAAAATGGTTTGGAAAGAAATTGTGAAATTTTGTGTTTTTAGGGTCAAAAATGGGAGAAAACGTAGTTTATCCCATAAAACCCCCATAAACACCCGTTCCCAAAGTCAGATCATGCTGGTTCACGAACTCGTTCAAATAAATTTAGGTTTACTTACACGTTTATACAAAATTTCATCAAAATCGTATCATTTTTGCTCGAGTTATCGTGCTAACGGACATATATATAAATATATGGGGATTTCCATTTGCCTGGATTAGATTTACACTAAAATGTCTCCTTAAAATTATCACATTTATTACCTATTTAAATAGAATTAGTTTAAAAAGTGTTTTTTGTTGTAAAATGTAAATATTTTAGTAAGAAATGAATGTATTTTCAAATCTGATCAAAATATAATTATAAGCAAACTACAACAGTTTACTTATTCTCCATAAGAATAACATGGGAATTTGAAATTTACATTTTTTTTTTATTTTCTCCGTAACCATTAGGCGCATAATAACGCTTCAATATACTAAATTATTTGTTTTTTTAAGCTCTACAAAATGGTTTCAGAAAGAAATTGTGAAATTTTGTGTTTTTAGGGTCAAAAATAGGGGAAAACGGACATATATATATATATTCATGATTGGATTTACACCAAATTGCCTCCTTAAATATATCTCATTTATTCCCTAAATAAATATATAAAAAAAATATCCTGAAAATACTTTCAAATCTAAATTCTACAATTGGCTTTTGAACAACCCTTTTTACTCTCTAAAAGAATTGTTTACATTGACTTTTATTAATTTTTAAGTAGCGTTAGCAAATTTACCAAATTACTGTTGGATTTAGTTGGTTATGGAGTTTAATAACTCCCATTATTACAAATGCCTTGAATTTTCTAAACAATAAGATTGTTTGGTTGTAATTTTTAAAATATGTTTTATTAGATTTCTCCTTGTGTGTAGTTAGCTATATTGTTTTCATTAACTGACTACGCTATAATTTTAGATGTTTTTTATGACATTGTCAATAATTTGTATAAATTTTATGACATTGTCAATGATCTTCTATATATTTAATACACAGTTGTAACACTGTTTTCTCAGTAATTACTGGACCGATCCACAAGTTCTATGTGTCAAATTAAAGGGGATAATGCATAGATTTGCCGAACTTCATTAGAATTCACGTTTTTTCTAAGGGTTAAGACCTACAGATCTTCAAAGATTGAGTCAATACAATTCTTATTGAAGAGTATAATACACAGTTTATAAATTATTCGTCAGCTGTTTAATGTTTGCCAGACATTTGTTATTATTTTTATAACCTCATATTCAGTATGTAATAATTATAATCTAGGAATTCCTGTAAAAAAAAATACGATTTGGAACAAAGAAAAGTGTATTTTTCAACTTTTTATACCACAATGTATTATTTATAAATGTATTTGAACATTATTTGTAGCCTATGTTTTGGTGCAAATTTTGTATTTTCGAATAAAGTGTTAGTTTTCTGAAGGAAAGTGGTAATTGAGTTTAAATTTGAAACTTCCGCTTGCAAGTTGTAGCCAAAAGAAAATTGCTAATGAGTGGGAAAAATACAAACATTTTACTATAGGGATGAATCTTATTCAAGGTCAGTGTTTGATGTTCTTCTTGAGATGGCGAGTACTATGGATATGCGGAACTACAATTTTTCAGTGAACTGTACCCTATAACTATTTTTTCAAGTAAACAGGGAAGTTGCTTGAGAAACTGTGCCTTACGATTTTGGTTCTGGCGAAGAAGTGTGTGACTAGATGTTTAATGCCAATGTTGACTCATTACATCGTTATAAAACTTTATCATAACTCCCAGGGTGTGAAAAAAGTACAAAAAGAAAAAAGAAAAGGTGAAAAGTCATTAACTGTGCGTAAAGAGACAACCATTACGAACAAAACACGTAGAAAGCCATCGAATAAAAAATGTAAAAAGCAGTGATGGTGTTAAATGGGCTCTGGAAGTTCTTACAAAAAACCATTGACTTTTTTAATTGGGGTTGTTAAATTGGATTTTTCATTACTGAAAATCTATGAATTTATGGGCAGAACAGACTAACAGGGAAACAAATATATTCTCCTTATATTGTCACAAGGGGAAGGTAAAATTAGCTCCTTATCAACATTCTGAATTCAACAAAAATCTTATCAACGGGGCTACATCAAATATGAGTAAAGTATCAAAAGAAACAAAAAAAAAAAACTTTCAAAAAACTATTTGATTAATAAAAGATCATATGCCTACAACTCTGCATTTGCAATGGTAAGTCTCACTTAGATGAATCAATATCATTCTGGAAGTCTATATGATTTTGAGATCTGGGACTCCTTTTACCACCACGGATTTGACCGTTAATACCCTTTAAAATTGAACCAAAGTATGCTATGAACCAACTTTATGTATACAACGTAAACACATCTGTTACTCACAGAATGGGTCTAAGATCCGGGAAATGCGACCGACTGCTGATGCGTGATTTAAGAGATTATTTTTATTCCACACAACGAATGTAACGAAAAAAAAAAAAAACGACGAATGTGGGAATAAACCTGAACAAATTATCTCCATAGCATAAGTAGCTTATTAGGTTATCAGCATTGCGCAGTTCGTACTCTATTTATTTTTCAAACGAAACTGGAATTAATATAAAACATTCATTTGGTTAAACTAATATATCGGTTAGATTAACATAAATAGTTTATACAGGCCAACTATCAGGTCTATGCCATGTAAAAAATCAAGCAGTTGCTAAATAAAACACAAAGATAAACGGTATTTGTTAATTATTATGTCTTTTATTGCTGACAATATTCCCGTGGCGGAGCACGGGTGGTTAACTAGTTTGTATAAATTAAAAAGACAATAAACAAATTTCATTTCATTTCATCGTTTCCCGTCTTCACGGAAGGTCATCGTCATCATCCATGATCACAGTAAAAAGGGAAACATCTCGTCTCCCACAGTCACGGGAACTTCGTTGCCGTCATTTGGATCGCGGCAAAAGCATAATTTTCCCCAATTGACACATCACTATTAATTAGTTGTGTTTCAAGGTGTGTTACTTTTAAGAATATTCTTATAGAAAAAATCCATGAGTAATTTGGGATGTCAAGTTAAGATTTTTATTAAAAATGATAATGTAGATTGAGTTGTCCCTGTAGTTAGCAGATAAGTTGATTGATTGATTATTTGTGTTTTTCCACATTTCAGTCTCAGTTTCAGTTTGTGTTTTTCCAGGAATCAGTCATTCAGAGCAGTGAATTCCTGTCTATGCTGGCCTACCTTTCGGTTCATACCATTCTCAACCATATTACACCAAGCCCATTCTGAACTGACTTTTGTTTTAAACATCTTTGTGTATTATTATTTGTAAAACATATATAGAGAGGAAAGAACAAAATTGTATACTCTAAAACTTAGATTTGGCCAAAGTTAAAATTGTATTTGGCCATGTGAAAAAATACCTGGTAGGGTGGTGAGGAGAAGTTTCCAGAGGCAGACTGAGTGTGCAGATGTTGAACTCTCTGGTGATAGGCTGCCTCTCGAGGGTTTTGCATAGGTCCTGAATACTGTCCAATAGGCTGAAAAAGCAAATATGTATAATCTTCTAAATTTCAGCCTACTTATTTGTAGGGGTGTGCGAGTATTCGAACATCGAGCTTTTTCGAGCCGAATAGCGTCCTATTCGGCTCGGCTCGTGATTTTCAAAAAGTTCGAAATGTTCGAGCCGAATACTTATTGAACTAGCAAATAAAAATTAAATTAATAAATAAGGAACTAACTTTCATTTAAATTTACTCTCCGTTTCATAATTCTGTCTTGATAAGCAAGAACCTCAGCTCAGTCAAGACGCAATGATTATCGATCGTAATTTTGAGGAAACTACCACCTATCGCGTTGTCTTTCCAACACAACTATTCGTATCGTAATATACAACGCAGTGCGAGTGCGTGATTGGCTAAGTCGCTATGACGACACACGGTTGCCGTGGCAACCTACATTGCGCACTGAGCACTGCGCCTTGTGTGGGAGGGGAGATTATACCAACAAACTATTTCAGGAATTCTATTTTGGGACGGATGAAAGATAAGGAAGAAACAAAGGTGGTCACGTGTGCAAATGTAGTGGGCGACACAATAAGGCTGTAAACGAGTATCGTCGTATCGTTGTTCCTTGTTTGTTTACTTTTTAAGATTCCTTATCAAACGCCCCTATCTGCTATCTCTCTTTCTCTCTCTCTCTAACAATGTACTGATTAAACAAGATTGTGGTTGACGACTTTTCTACTTATAAGTTTCCCTGCGGTTATTTTAGTTCAATCAATCCCATAACCTTTCTAATGTTTATCAAAATAATTAATTAATATGTTTTGTATTTTATTTCCTTTAAACCAACCCCTATTTACCATCTGTATTTTATAGAATAAAATGTTTGTTTATAAAGTTTGACTGGCCACACAATTTTGTACCTATTTTATTTTGTATAAAAGTAACAGTTACTTTGAGGATTATATATATATCAATAAGTGGCGCGTGCTGTAATGAGTGCTTTTTATTTTCAAAATAAGTAATGAGTTATTAATTTTTGATAGTACGGGTCATTAAATACCATAATGTGATGTAGTTTCCTATTTGTATCTTGCAAATAATAATAATTGATAGTTAATTCTGGAAATGAAAAATAGTGATCGCATTCATAAACCTGTTGTCAAAACAGCAACGAGGGTGTAAGGGTTTGGTTTATTGTTTCAGACGCAAGGGTGTTTCAAGGACAAAGTGTTGGGCCACCCGGATGCTGGGGGGAGGGGGCGGTGAGACTGTGTGAAGGGGAGGAAACTGGTTTTGGCTATTTATTGATTAGTTCGCCGACCCTTCTAGATGACAAAATTGAGTGACAGTGTTAAATCATCGTGTTCTGCATTTCATTTCTTGTTTACTTTGTGTGTTATTCTATTAATTCTAGTGCTTTGGTCTATTTCCTCTATATGTCAATTATATATTTTTTAATATATAAGTAAAACTTGTCTCTCCACCTTTTTGGATCCAAACCAAACACGTTCTTTTTTGATTAATAGGATTCATTTAGAGGTGTGCGGATATCCGAAAAATTGGGTCGGATTCGGTTCGGATATCCGTATCCAAACCGGGCCCAAATTCGATATCCGACACTATCCGTTATTTATCCGACTTTTTCGGATATACAATATATTTTGACGTTTTGGACAGAAAACTAAATCTCCATGGCTACCATTAGTTTCCCAGGACAAAATTACAGCAATACGTTTCCAACGACCTAACAGCAAACGGCAAAGAAGCCGTATGATGCAATACTGATAACTAGTTTAGTCGTTATCGGCTGTTTTGCTTTACGATTAGATTCGTCTGGAATGAACAGGCATAAAGCAAAAAAGAACTACCATGGTCAAATGAAAGTCAACTCGTGCTTGTCTCGCTCCTGATACTAGGGGCGCTGTAATAGTTTATTTACAGTACTGTTACAGTACTGTAAAGATAACAACGTCATTCTTTCTCTTTGTTCTTCTATTTCTTGGGTTTCCCTTCATCACGCATTCAACATGTTGTCATGGTTACTAATCACCCATGTCGTTATCAGCTTTTGTGACATAGCGCACAGCATGGGGTAAAACTTGACGAAAATCGGTTAATTTTTACCTACCAATTAAGTACTACTTTATTGGTATTTGATACTGTATTAATAATCGGTCAAAATGGCCGATTTTTGTCAAATTTTACACCAAATTTATTGAAATTTCAAGGTGAATATTAATAAAACAATTATTACCAAATATTTGTATTCATTTAAAAGATTGATTTGTTGTATTGGGTTCCCCACTGAGTGCAGCCGAGCGGCACTAATGAGGGTCGGACCTTCTTGCGGGTGAACAATAGACGGCTTATCAGACCCACCCCTCCCCCGTGGTCTGGAGAAAGCTTGTAAACAAACTATTGCACAAGCCATTGGGCTGCTTCAACTATAATTTTGTCAAATGAACTGTGATGTTTTAAAATCAAAAACAATAATTTGGGACCATACTGCTTAACAATAATGGACTGCAATTATTGTTAAACATACAATCCAGTTTTACATTAAACAAAAATATTTTGTGCATGGAAAACAACAAGAATAATCACGTGTTTTTAAATTTATTTTGTATTTATTTATACAAAATAGAATTAAATATTCATAGTAGTTACAATATCTATATATCTAATTCTGTAACCCCAAAATTTTACAATGAAATTGTGAGCGAACCGGAGGGCGTAGAAAGCTGGAAGGGGTCTCATTTTAAAGGTCTGGGCATGAAATTTTGGGGAAAATTATTCATTTTTCTTAACTATGCACCAAAAGGTTGTGACGGAATAAAATAATTCACATTTAAATAACATGGGAATCTAGGTCATGTCTGCTTTGTTTACATTAAAACATGTTGTTTAACTTTATTTAAAGCACATGGTAATATGTAATATGCACTGTATATGTATACTAACCCTTAAGAGAGGTTGAACATACCAATTGACTATATAAATTTAATTGCACGATCTGGAATACCACCACACAAATTAGTTTTAAAAGTTGGTTCAATAGTGATGCTCATTAGAAATATGAAGCTAGGGTCTGGATTAGTTAATGGAGTACGATTGGTTGTGTTAGGTATTACTGGAAAAAGGGTAAAGTTAGTAGTAATTACTGGAGTAGGCAAAGGGAATATATTTTCAATTCCAAAAATAAAACTAATATCCACAGATCCTAATATGCCGTTTAAGTTTACAAGGGAAATTTTCACAAAAATTGGCATTTATTTGAAAAATGTATCTCCATGTATTTTATCTAAGTGAATTTGTCTATATTCAAAGAAATGTATATACATTTAATTAATAGTCATGAAGATTATCATTGAAAATTGTCCTTAGTTGTATTATGATTAGAAAGTTTATATTATAAACACACTGCATGAAAAATCCTTTGTAATTTTTATTTTTAACAGAGCACACCTCAAAATGCATTATGCAGGTATGTAATAACTATTATACATATTATAAAACAATAATGTTAAAAGATGATCAAGGTAGGGTAACCCATGGGACTAATAATTTGTACAAAATAATTACTACAATATATACATAGGGGCTACTGCCCCTACAAGCCACTAGTACATATGTAATCGACTTGCTAGTTGTTTTGTCGTCATTCAAGGTCGCGTTGCTGTTCTGTCATGAAAGACAATCTGATTGTCTCAGTCTGCACTGCATATCTCTTCAGGCCTTCAATCGATATCCTTTTATTTCTTGCATCTTCATTTAGTTCAGTTCAGTTCTTATCGTGATTATCTACTATTTGATGTCTTGACAATTCTCAATGTTTTTAAACATATTAAAATAACATTGTGTTTATTTAAAAATTGACTAAACATTATTATTATGCACTTTTAAAAAAAAAAGTTTAATAATTAAGATAAGGTTAGGCCTACGCTAGGAAAAGCTCGGCTCGAAAAAGCTCGAGCTCGAACATTTTTTAAAAAGCTCGGCTCGGCTCGGCTCGAGGTTGAAAATCACTATTCGCACACCCCTACTTATTTGTCATATTGTTGACAGCTAAACCAAATTGTGTAGCATTACCAATCCTTTTGGAAAATTAAATAAAACAAAAAATTACTATCAGTATCAAAAATCAATTTGGTAGGTATCGGTATTGGAATCGAGAATCGATAAATTTTTGTATCAACACATATACAAAATAAGTAACAAACATTTGTTGGATTTTTAACGTACAGTGTCGAATATCAAATTTGGGTTCGGTTCAGATACGGATATCCAAACCAAACCGAATCCGACCGATTTTGTGGATATACGCACACATTCTCTTTACTTTATTTTATGAATTTTCTAACTATTGTTAAGTAATTTTACTAGTTGACTCCAAAAATGTATTCTACTAATAAATTTGTCACTTGCAAGACAAAGGGGTGCAAGTAAATATTAATATCATATGAATTTACGTCACTTTGTCTTACAAGCGACAAATTTATTAGTAGAATAAATTTGTTGAGTCAATAGTTAGAAAATGCATAAAATAAAGTAAAGAAGAGGTGTGCGTATATCCACAAAATCGGGTCGGATTTGGTTTGGTTTAGATATCCGTATCTGAACTGAACCCAAATTTGATATTCGACACTATACGATAAATAAATATCCAACTTTGTCAGATAGACAATGTATTTTGATGTTTTGGACAGAAAACAAATCTTCATAACTATAATTATTTCCCAGGACAAAATTACAGCATTACGTTTCCAACGACCTAACAGCGCTCGACGTGTTGTCTATGACTACGACAAGTATCAAAACATTGAACAATAATCGAATCAACAAACAAAAAAACTTTAATAACAATCTATATTGTTGTTGACACGTGTGGTACAACAATCCGACAAATAGAAAACAGAAAGTTATTTTAATACACCATCAACACATTAGACGTATAAAAAAATGCAGTTGAGCTATATTAACAATCAAAGTAACGCAATAAAAATTTTTTATCTTGTATTTATTTGTTTTCCTCAAGTTTTACTTTGGCCTAGCCTAAAATATTAGAGAGCTCGAAGAAGAAGCTGTATAATGCAATAACGATATCTGGTTTGGTCGTTATTGGCTGTTTTGCTTTACCATTCGCTTCATGTGGAATAAACAGACATAGAGCAGAAAAAAACTACCGAGGTCAAATGAAAGTCAACTTGTGCTTGTCTCCTGATAATACTAGGGGCGCTGTGTTACCTAATAGTTACAGCCATTGTATTTATGAAGGCAATTTCACAACAAACTGTTCAATAGTTCCACTTGGATATGCCAGTAGTGTTTTGGTTTTATAGTACTGTTTTACAGTCTACTACTGTAAGCAATACATATGTTTCCCAAAAAAGTCAGAATAGAAACAATAGAAAGGTAGGAGGGGTTGGATGATGACCTCGAAAGGAGCGCGGGCCACAGTGAGTCGAGTAGGGCAGGGGAAAAGCGTAGGTGGGACCTTGAAGCGATATTTAGACTTAGACCAATTCCCTAAAGGGCTGGCAAGGGGGATTTCAAACGTAAGACAGTGGTACAAATTTTTGCTAATTTCTTGCCCGGTTTGACTTTCGGTTGTCTTTTTTGCGTAGAAACTTTGAATGATCAAAAATATAATTTGAATTAACCACGATTATTTACCATTGATTGCATATGAAACTCTAGGGACCAGGAGAAATATTCAAATTAAAGATGACTTTGAATGATAGAAGTTTGAATTAGCCACAATCAACTGTTCTTTATTTGCCCTTGAATCACAATTCTCAACATCTATTTCAAAAGTTGATTGCTTGAATGAATTAGCCCACCCACCAGCCCAAATATTCACAAAACACTTCAGCTCAGCAGACAACTGATGTCAAACGCTCGGGCTTGTTTACTTGGGGCTATGTTTTATGTTGTTTCAGTTCTTACACAACAATGAGTTTTATGCTCAAGTCGTCGGTTTATGTTAACTCACAGCGCATTTTCTCACATCTTTGAGACGGGTTATTAGCCTAAGGTGGCTTTCTGCAGGACTGCAGGTTTAACTAGCGTTTAAAAAGGTGTAAGATTGCCGATGCACTAAGCTGGGCAAGGTCCTAGCTCACGATCGGATGTTACCGGCGAGTTAATTGGGCCAAATAACCCCGCAAAGGGTTTATATTGCGCATTAACTGAATAGCTAAATCTCATCATTCTACAGTTTTTTACCACCAAAATTTTAATTTTAATTTAGGAGTTTTATTGATTGTTGGTTTTCAGTAGTTTTTGGTTTTAGTAAACAGATAAAAACCGACAACTGACTTTAAAAATCCACCGATCCCTGCTGATATTTAATACAACTCTGCAGCTGAACAGATCACCTGGGGAGCCCACTGTCCAGTCATGTTGTGTCTCATCTGCTGTTGCTTCTCTCTGCGCTTCTTGGCCTTGTCTCTCTGTCTGAACATCAGCTCAGTTTGTTGACGAGTCTTGAATATCTCATCCTCCATGTCTCCCAAGTCTGACATAATCAGCTGTACACGGTCCAGCTTTACATTTCCACTGTCGGTGATAAACCCCTGTGCGGCAACAAATAAACATAACATTAACCAGCAACAAATCAACACTAAAGTGAGAAGAAAGAGAGAAAAGGTTTAATCAGATTGAGAGAGATTGGTCTAGAGAAAATATTGAAACACCCGATAATTTTACACTTGACTTCGCTTCAATGAAATGATTAGGCTTTAGTCTTTTGCCTTGGTCTTAATCTGGCAGAGGTCGCACTGAATTGAAAGCGTGAGGTTTCAGATGCACACGGTCTTTTCGACTGGGTACATAAAGGCATATTTCAGTAAGCATTATATTTTAATTCCTCAAAATCGTAAAAATGGTGTTAAACATTGATTTACAACCTTCTGAATATGCTTAAGATAAAAAATTAAATGGACAGTTGTAATAAAATCATACACCTTGCATTGTTTGTTTTGTAAACAGTTTCTTATATATGTGTAAAAAGTTTCTTAAATATCTCAATAAAGTCCAACAGTTTTTTTATCTATCTATAAATGTCAAATACATATGAAACAAACTGTATAGTTGTTAACTATTTAAGAAATAATAATTGTAAAGACTTCAGTAAAACTAATATGTATTGACTTTTAGAATGATTGACAACATAGCAACCACAAACATAAAATGACTGCCCACTTCTAGAGGCTCTAGATTGCATGTACCTTTGTCATATTGCCTCTTGTATTTCAATTGTTTCAGTTTTATCTTGTCTTCTATCTCTGTTTTTATCTGTGGCTTAAGACTTTCTTCCAACACTGGTAGTAGTGTTTTTGTTGTTCTAGCCATCAGTAATTGAGCTGGGCTGGCTCCAATTCCTTTAATAGGTGAATTCCTCAACTCCAACAATGCAACACTCAAATCTTCTTTGTTTTCTTTAACTTTTTTAATTAGTTTTTTGCCACTTTCACATATGATTCGGCTTTTCCGTTTGACTGATGATTATAAGGTGACGAGGTTACTACTTCAAATTTCCACTCTTTAGAAAACTCTTTGTAAGGCATTACTTAGTAGTTGTGAGCCACTGTCTGAGACTACCACATCGGATATTCCATATCTTGAAAACTGTTCTTTGCAAAAATTAATTAGTCCAGCTGTTTTAAGCGAATATACTTTTCTTAGTTCAAAAAGTGACGAATAGTAGTCAACCATGATTTAAAAACTCCTACTTTTTGCCATGGTCGAGATGGAATTTCATGAAGTTTTAAGGGTTCTTTTCTTTGTGAGGATGCATACTTCTGACAAGGCCAGCATTTTTCTACAGTCGGTTTGATGTCTTTCGTCATTCCTGGCCAAAACATCACTTCTCTGGCTCGTCTTAAGCTTGATTCTATCCTTGATGAGAAGAATGTAATTTCTGTAACATTAACGGTCTCAGCTTTGCTAGAATTGCAAGCCGTTCTCCTTTCAAAACTAAACCTTCGGCTGTTGTCAGTTCATCTCTTATGTTCCAGTATTGCTTTAAGTCATCTGAAAGTTTTCCTTTCTTTTCAGGCCATCCTTCGTTTATCGTCTTTGCTAGTTGAGCCATCATAGGACATAACTTTGTTTCCTCTTGTACTTCCTTTATCCTCTCGTCTGTTATGTTTATGTGATTCAAAGCTTCTATTTCTTCTATTTCATTTTGAAATATCACTGCTTCATCGATTTTGTAACCTTGTGTGTCTTGTAAAGGTGCTCTTGATAAGAAGTCTGCTATAACTATGGATTTTCCAGGTCTGTAAATAACATTGAAATTGTATCTCTGAAGTCTTAGTAGCATTCTTTGTAATCGTCTTGGGGCAGAAACAATCGGCTTCTTAAATATTGACTCCAGTGGTTTGTGGTCTGTTTCCACAAGAACATCATTCCTTCCATGGATAAATTGTTCAAAACGCTGAAGTCCAAATACAATCGCCAAACATTCCTTTTCTATCCGCGCGTATGATGCCTCTGTGTCTGTCAATGACCTGGACGCGTAAGCTACAGGTTTACCCGAAGTGGGCAGTAGATATACCAAAGGGTAGTCGTGTCCAGCGAAATCTTCCTTTAGGAGTCCAAAATGTTGTGAGTTTGCTCGCTTCCTCTGTAAGTTTGACGTGCCAAAATCCATCTTTTAGATCAAGAATACTTAAGTATTTTGCTCCTGCTAATTGTGGCATGATCTCTTGTAACTCATTTTTATTTAAACTTGACAAACCATCAATACCACAACTTTTAGCTCCTTCTTTCAACCTTCCTATAAAATCCTTTATATTTTCATTCTTGAGTTGGATTATTTTGTTAAACAAAAATCTTTAATATGAATCCAATGCACCTATGATACCAGCAAGATCTGTATTGTTGGTATCTACAAGTTTTTTAATCAATTTAAGGCCCTCTTTACCTATCAATGTGTTAAACATAGCCAGTTTTTAGTCTTGGTGTACTTAGCCTTGTGTCACATACTGCTCCTGCCTCTGCTAACACCAGGTAGTTTTCCCATTGCTTCTTAAATACTCTCCATTCTTCCTTGGCTGAGGATGTATTGCTCAAATCAAGAGGTGCAGGTTTACAATCCATTCTCACAAGTTATTCTGACACCATGTTAACTATTTAAGAAATAATAATTGTAAAGACTTCAGTAAAACTAATATGTATTGACTTTTAGAATGATTGACAACATAGCAACCACAAACATAAACAATAGTAATAATCAGCTGCTACAAATTAAACTAATATTAAATTCAACAATAGTAAACTATAAAAAAACATAGTTCACAAAAAAAAATTGAGTTATAAATTATTATATCATCACTGTCTTGTAAAGATCAAATTTAGGGGTGTGCGAGTACTCGAATCCACGAGTAGTTATTCGAGTATTTCACTACTCGAACTCGGCTAGACGATTTTCCAACAACCCGATAAATTTGAGTAACTCAGTTGTCTCAATAACAGATATAAAACAATGGCTAAACAGTAAAGTGTGGTGTTTCATTTAATCCTCATACTTCTTAAATAATCACATTATTCATAAACACTGCAGCGAACGTAAGGAACGTTCAACTAACTAATGAACAGCAATTGGACTGGACGCTGTTGCTGTTCTTCTTATTACGCCATTACGAGTAAGTTACTTAGCCTATGTCAGCTGGCTACGATTGCGACGTCAGGACTCAACAATCTGGAACCTAGTTACGTGCTGATTAAAATTACATTAGTCACAGGTAAGATTGGTTTAGTTCCATTTCCAATTTCTATATAAAGCATTAATTTTATTAGCTATATTAGCAAAGATTTTAAAGCATTAATCGTAAATTATGTTTAACATTATTAACTCGCATTAATTATTAATTTAAGGGACTATTTCTTTGGTATGGGTAAGACGTGTACCGGCATAAAAATAAAATCAATACAGACGTAAATAGTTTATTTATAGCCCTACAAGCAACAGTGTACTGCAGAAAGACTGGGAGAAAATAACCAAAAGTATCATTATGACGTTGAAGAGTAAGAACATAGAGTGAACGTGAGAAAGAGTGTAGGCCTAATGTAGTATTATCATAGACTGTTTATGGATCTATGGTATTATTAACGAGTGGAAATGTAATTCGAATTCAAAAATATACCGTACAGTAACAGTAACTAAGTCTTTATCTCGATTTTAAAAACACATTTCACATTTCATAGCTGGAGACTGATTTGCTCAGGTTTAGGAGAAAACTTAAACAAATTTTGATTGAAAATGCTTGCTACAGAGTCCGCGATTTTTCCACTGTCATGTAGTCAGTGATTTCTGTCCTGTTAGATTTACTAGAAGGTCAAATTGTTTAGTTAGTAGAGTTTTTTTTTAATATTTTATATTTTGTACATTTCATTATAAACTTGACTATTCCAATGCAATGTAATTTTGTAATTCTGGAATAAAGAACTTATGACTTATGGCACTGTACTGTTAAGCTATTATGCAATAGCTAGTTCATGTCTGGTGACACTGGTGCCTCATGTCGACGAAATTTTGTTTCTATTATTTTAGAGTTGGTTTGTGCTTAACTGTTTGGTTATATAACTAGAGGATGATTTATTGTTAAGTATTATATCGTTTTATTTGGCTAAACGGGGTTTTAATTTAAATCACTGAAATAACAAGTAACAAATTGTAAACAAAACAAGACATCTCCAGTGCACCGGATAGAGCTAACGATAAAATTGGCTTCAGCTGTTCCATAAGGATGTGAAATCTACTAAGGGAGTATGTTTCATACACATGATAAAGCATACTCCCTTAGTCGTTATTGGAACAGCTGAAGCCAATTTTATTTTAAGTTCTGTCCGGTTCACTGTAAAAGTCGTGTTTTGTTTACAATTTGTTTCTTGTTATTTCAGTAATTTAAAACCTCATTTAAACCTATTAAATCGATCTTATCATAAAAAATAACTCATCTCCTAGTTAAATTTAAGCAAAAAGAGAAGCACAAATCATAAAATTCCTTTAGCCTTTAACTAATAATAGAAACAAATGAAGTCCACCTCTCAATAGGCCTAATTGATAATTGATAAATCTCGTTGACACTAGCGATCATTGTCACCGGACATGAACTAGATAGACACGAAAAACGAGCTTCTCAATTTACAATGGGATGAGAAGTCCAAAACTTTCTCCCCTATTCAGAGATAGAATGTATACGTTTTGTGTTCTTTATTGGTTTGAAAGTCATAAGCGAGGCAACGTTACGTCCCCACAACACAATGCTGGTCAGGATCGATTTCCAAAGGAAAAAAAGTGTAATGATGAATGTAACTCATAACGCAATGGCCCTTCCTTGACGTCTTTAGTCAATGTAGTTGAGGGGAATTTCATTTCATATGATGTAAAGGGATATTTCAGCGGGTAAAAATTCCTACGGCACACTGTTGAAAACAACAAAAACAAAGAAAGAAGAACATACATGTAAGTCTCATTTATTAGTCTTAACTCTTAACAACATTGTAGTCCAATTGGAGCTGAAGATATCGTAGCCTAGTTGATACGTGAAAAACAAAGTGTTTTAATAAATTTAGCTGACATAAGTTTTTTAGATATGAAGTAAAACACTTAAAAGTTGTTTGTAACTACGACGACTTTTGCATTAGTCATGTAAATGGACAATGAAAGATTCTGGTTATGTGTATGTGTGACATGTCTTATTGTTATTGTTATTTTATGTAAAAAAAAAATATAAAACAATTGAAGCAATATTTCCATGTAAAGAATAAATAATTAAATAAAAGCGCCTTCGGAAAGTGTTTTTTAATATAACTTTTCTTTTATTTAAAATTTTATTATTATTTTTAAATTAAAATTTTTTTTAAATCTTGTCTTGAAAATATCCTGTTAGTATTTCAATCCCGCCCCAAGCTTCAAAATAAAAAAAATCTCGAAAAAATCTCGAAGTTTCGGGTCTTGTCCATCACTAGTCCATTTCTCTTTTTTCATAGACTCTTTCCAATTTCTGTATTTCTTCCAGTCTCTTTAACTCCAATTCCATTAGTCGTAGTCAACTAGAAAAAGTACTAGATTTGGCAGAAACTAATGGTTGGTCTTTACTTGGCTTTGGATTAACAGTTTTGTCCTTGTTATTCCCAATTACTGGAGTATATCTGTCTGGAGGGTGTCTTTCCCTCTCTGATATTTTTATTGACATGACAATGTCGGGTTTCGGCACCAAATGTAGAAGATAATGTCAGACTTTTTAAAAGTCCATAAGTGAATTATTTGCAATAGAATTCAGACAAGACTAAAGTAAACAAAATCACAATAATTGAAATTAATAACAAAGTATATGGCAATAAATAAATACAAACAACATAGAACATTGTCACAAGAACATATTACACTGTCTTATTGACCGGTAATTCTAAAACACAAAGAGACGCACAGGATGGAATCGACCAGTACATGAAAAAAGCTGTCGCTAGACTGAAATGGGGATGTGAAGGATGGCAAAAAGTAGGTTACAGTGTTCTTGGAATGTGTTATACATAATAAAGGTTGACAATAACGACAACCAATAAATATAGTTTTTATGCAAAAAAGTACAAATCTGGTAATTTAGACTGCTATGCCATAAAATGTGTACCATAAAATCGCAAGCTACTCAAAGTGATGACTGTACAATGCAGCGGGACAACCACTTTCGTCGCTTCTGATTATACTCTTAAAATACATTGTACTTTCTCATTATTTTACCATGATCCATACGACACAGTTTGTCAACTCCTTTGTTCTGGTACAAACCGATACATTGACACTCCGGAAGAGATTCACTTTATCTTAAATTTTACAGTTACTGCCCAATACTGAAATTTGTATAGATACAATTCATTTAAATTTAAATTTTTGTTTTACTACCGTACCTAAACATTTATAGTAGGGGTATTTTTTTTGTCATTTATGTTAATTATAATGATAGATTCAATATTGAAAAAGTTAGTATATTGAATGAAAGACACATTTTAAAGCCTCTAACAGATTAGACAACAAAATTTCTATAATTTGTTACTATGATTTTATTCTTTCCTGTGCTATTCGACCTAGCCTCGCCAGGTTACGTAATATAATCAAAACTATGCTGTATTTCAAGTACTTTAACTTTTGAAAAAAGGTTGAAACATAATATTGTTTGACACAAAAAATGTAGGCTAATGTTACAAATCTCACCCCAGTTTTCATGACGGCTTTCTTGTACAAAGTGACCAGACGATCTATAGCTCCCTCCCTGATCTCCAGTGAAGGTAGGTGAGGCAGAAAGTCATTCCCAACAAAGAAGCACATAAAGACCCAGTCATCAACAGCTCGTTCAAAGTCATACTCGAACGGTATACCAGGCATCTGTAGCTCCTTCTCCAAGTACTCGCGCAGCACGTTGAGTCTAACAAAGATGAACTGCTGCTCAACTCCAATCATAGGTGGCTTCCCAGGATCACTCACATCATTGGCCAGTCCCACACAGTCCTTCAGCTCATGACCTACAACCATTACACAATCTTCACCTACCTAGCACACTTGACAATAATGTCTCAGGAACCAGAATATTTCAATACAGTCTAAGATAGTACAATTATTTCCATTACCACATATTAGTCAAGGCGCTGAGGGGGTTTGAGCATGCATAAAAGTGTAACGAAATTTTACCTTTGATTGCTGCTGTTGGTACCTAGTAGATTAAGAAAATGGATTTTGTTGCATTCCTAGATGGTTAATAACATAATGGAGAGGGGGTGAAGTGGGAAGGGCCACCACACACAAAATAGCTTATATCTCAAGAACCAAAAGTCATATACATTAGAAATGTCAAACTGTGTAAAAAAATGTGTTCTAAGAAAAGATTATGTAGTAGTTTGACAAAAAACTACAAGAAGTTAGTGAAGATTGCATTTCTTGAATTTACGATAAGTTTTATCAGGAATATTATGATTTTTGTTATTGTTTAGAACCACTGATAATTTTAATAACAGCTTTGGAGAGTAGTATACAATAGGATACTAATATTTTGTAGAATTAAAACTATTTGAGATACATAACTTAACAGCTATATTTATTTATTTATTTTTTATTTATTTATTTACAGAATGCCATTAAATCATAAAATGACAGGACATTTGTCAATTACAGTATGATACTTAAAACTAAATAGGGGAAAAATCCGATACAGGATATACCTGAGGGCCCCAACTTGTCCTAGTCCAAGCCTGATTAACATTATTGTATTTCTAATGTAGGATACATAACATGCATGTAATCACGTATGAAGAGTGTGAGTGAAAAATCTCACAACAAAGTTAAAACAAACTGTTATTTCATCAAATAATGAAAATTCACCTTCTTGTCCGCAGATATCACATGTTTTCGGCTTGTTGGGCTTGAACTCCTCTCTGATGATGGTAAAGTTAGGTTCATGAGTGGCTAGTCCTAACATAATTAGATCAGCATCAGCTCCACAAAGGCAATGCTGGGTGTTGGGGTCATGATCTGGCTGGGCTGCAACAAATATTTCAACAAAGAAATAATATATAATAATATATGGATAACTAAATACCAACATACAAATCCAACAAAAAAGACAATTGAAAGTTTTATTACTGTATAAAAAAACTTATCCAATAATGATAATGTTTCATATTGACTGGTAAAGTATTACGTGCGATAAGTATCTATTTATAGAAACACATGTGTAACTGAGGATCTAAGGACATAATCTATCTTGTTGTATCACCTCTCTGGCGGCGGATGTAGTCCATGATCTTGTGCTCCCCCTCCCCCGGAACATTGGCGTCTGACAAGATCACTTTGATGTTCCTCCAACCAGGATCACTGTTTAGTCTCTCGTGAATATAGTAATGCAGACAAGTTGAAAGCCTCGCCATGAATGGAGTACCCTATGTTGAACATATTGAAATTTTATTTGTACATGTTATACCTTACAATGAATGTATAAAGACATTTTTGCTAATGGTTTGTCTACATAAAACTTTTAACAATTATTTCCTGCCCAACTTTAAGACAGAGAAATTTAAAACTTCTTAATACCTAAGATAGACACCACAATTGACTGTGGTAAAATGGAGGTTAGTATATGGTATGTTGTCATCAGTTTTTAAATTAAGATCATCATAGTTTATGTGAGTAGGGTTGGGCGAGTACTCGACCTTCGAGTAATTACTTGACTTATACTCGACCTCGAGTCGAGTAGTAATTACTACTCGAAATGAGTCGAGCAGTTATAAATAGTGCCACTTAACGATTTTCTACACCCGTATTTAAAAAAAGATATTTGTTTTGTGTTGATGTCTTATTTAATCCCCATTCCTACAAAAAACAACTATCTGAATTCATATAGCGTACACCAAATGTTCAACCAGTCAACAATATGTCTTGATAACGATAAGTTAAACAAAAGCATTGAATGAATCTATCGAGTTACAGTAGTCGATAGTCAACAAGGGAGTCTTGTGACTAATAAATCATACGCAGACGATTCTTGAAGATATTATAAAGTAGGGGTACAGTATTATTCAGTTCATTTAGTTTGAACAGTGATAAAAATATTTTATACCATAATATAGTAACACAACATATAAAAATAAGCTATTATTATTGCATATTTTTTCACTTTAATCGGTACGGTATTGGTGGTTTTAGAAGCCGATAAGTTACTACAAGGAACATCGATGCATCAGAATGACGGAATCTCACTGGGTCTTGGCAGAAAGATCAGTTCCACTTCAAAATCAGTGTTGCCAGATGGACGATATTTTTTTGTAGTTTAACAACAGTGGTAGTCGCGTAAACAAACTATAAGTATAATTTTCTAATGAGTTTACAGAAACGTGATTTAAATTAGTCAGACTATTAACTTTTGTTTACAAATTAAAAGCTACGAGGTGTTAGCCCGTCCTACGTACGGGAATTCAGTAGTCAGTTAAAACCGTGTACAATTCAGTTCAGCTAGTTTACACATATAAAGACAAAGTTTCTTGCAGTTTTAATGTGAAAAATCATCTTGTAAACAAATGTTGTGTGACCAAATATGTTTTTATTCCATCATAGACCTATACGATATGCATTTTAAATCCGATAATTTTACAATAAAACAGCAATTCTGCAATTTTTACGATGTGAAAAGCGTTGAAATGAGATTTGCAGCCGATTCGCACAGACGCACACTGATTATAAGTAGCCTACAGTAGAAAGAGTAATAGTCAATTGAAAAGTGTATAGACTTAGTCAACTATACCACCTTCCATAGCATACCTGCCTCTTCCATAATTATTCCACAATACAACTACTATACACCCAATTTCCAGTAGGTCTGAATAGAAACGACCTAAAACGATAATATCCAATAAAATTCACAGTACACATAAATCGCCACACCTATCCTTTACATCTATTTCACTGCATTAATTGCTAAATAAATAAGTGTAAACAAAGAAAAGTAAAAACAATAACAGTTTGTTTTGAAACAGCTGTTTGGTTCAAATAACATCCATTTGAAAAAAAGAACTCACGATTACTAAAAGAACTGGTCACATGTAGCAGGAATATAAAAAGTAAACACGCTAGTAAAGCTAATGACGTAATTGTGAATGTTTATTATCCATACAGTTATCAGTTCTATCCTTAATAATTACCCACCCTCATTGAATAAGTGTACATCGTAATTTCCCATATTAGTTCATTTAAACTACAATATATTCATAGTTGAAATGAAAGCGATATTTTCACGTTTGGGGGCGCTGATAGGCACCCCCAAACGTAACCACACTGTACATGATTTCATAAAAGGATGGTTTGTCTAATTGCAGTATCCTAGGTCAATGATGACGTTGTGTTCAATCTTTGTATAAAATTCGGCTGAGGTTGTGGTGGTAATTTAAAATCGTGATTCCTGATTATTCTTGATCTTCTTTTTATGACATCAATATTTCCGGGCCTAATCCAAACAAAGTTAAAGAAGACAAACATTAATTGTAAACAAAAAGCTACCATGAAGAATTAAAACATGTAAACATTGTTATTTTTCTATTTTTTCCTCGAAATATGGAATAGTAAAATAATTTGCATTTATCCTTTTTTATTAAGACTCGTGTACAGAGCCTCGATTTGTACTGTGGTTTAATTAATTTTGGTCTAAACTATTTTAAACTGTGGTATAATTATCTCTACTAATCTTACTTATTTCCTATAATCAATGACAAAATAAGAGTAAATAAAATAACCTCATAGTTCTATAGTTTATATTTAACCAGCTGTTAGTTAGAACAAATTATATTGCTCTAAAACAAATCAAAGATTACAAAGATTGCTTTAAAAAATAATTTGAATATCCTAGTATTTTACTATGTATAATTTAATTAATCTGTCATCCTCTTACAGAAGAATTGAACGTATCAATGATTTGCATTACACATAGTATAAATAAGTCAACCCTAAGTATGTCTTTACATTTTTATCCAAATGCTGAATTTGTGACACAAAAGCTAGATGTTTACAGCTGTTATGTTAAGCAAATTATTTTATGCCAAAAGCTAGTTTAGAATCTTAGCGTCGGCTGCTAGACTTTAAAAAAATTAAAACTTAATTTCTAAAAAACTGGGACCCTAAACTAAATTTACGGCTTCGACATTCCCTAGTTCTCAAAATTATCTTTCTTTCAACACAAAAATCATGAAAATCCGTCGAGTGGTTGATTCAGAATCGTGAAATAAAAAAACACTGTTTCGTTTTAATATTATAGATAGCAATTTTTTGATAATTTTGCCAACATTCACCATAATGATTTAATGATAAATATGGCAACGTCAGCCCTGCAAAACAGCTGTTTGATAGGAAAACAAAGCAGAAGCAGAATGAGCAGACCGACTAGATTGAATAGAGAGAGAGATGGTGACGGCGTAACAACAAAACAATGGATTGGAGTGGAGTTATGTCAACGTCAGTTTTGAATGTTTTTACTTTGAAGTGAATTTGTAACTTAAAATAAAATTGATTTTTTTTAGTGGAAGTTTAGAAAGTAAAATAAACATATTCTGTTTGTGATTTTGACCGTGCAATTTTCAATCTGTTGGCAGAAACATGACAACTACAGTTTGAATCATAACTAACCTATAAAGTGGTGAGTTTATTTAAGAAAGACCAAATAGGCTATACCGGGCTACAGTGAAATGTGTTTTAATTTTAAATTAGGAGTTTAATTTGCGATTTTATTTCAAGATAATAGTGTAACGGTATGTATTTCTCTCCTGGAAATACCTACAGTTACTTTGGGTGACGTAGCTCAGGAATGAAACTCAGCACTCGCTTACAAAACCAAACTTTAATAATTACTCAAAACAACACAAAGAACACAAAGATTAAAATCAAACAAATATGTAGAGTAGACTGGAACTGTATAAATCATTTAGTTAGAAACTGAAACCCCAATTTGGAAAAGACTCTAAACCCCAATTTTGAAAACTCTTAACATTTTCTTACCTGGACCCAAGGCCAAGGGCCTTGGGCTCCAGCTCCCCCAGCAGCTCCCCTCCGGTGCACCACACAAACACTACCCTCCAAAACAGACCCCTCGATCAAGTGCACTGTGTTATATATACACATTTGTATTGGGTCTTAGAATGTTGTACTCTATGTCATGTATAGCCCACTACTTGTCCTAGATAGAGAACAGGAATAAAGTCTCTTTCATGTTAGCCTCCAATGACTGAGCATCTTATTTCAAGCTCCCATTTCCCAAAATGTATAATTATATGAGTTATGGCAAGATACATAACAGAAATGGCGACGAGGATTCTTTTAACGTTTTAAAATAATATACAGTGCAGTAATTGTTTGTAAAGTGATTGAAATATGACGGGAAATGAAGGAAAAGGAGGTACTGTAATGGAGGTGGATCTTCAGGTACGCAAGCCGCTGTAAGTACCTTCAGGGCACCGTACTTAGGCTCAATAGAACCTTATAACGAAGAAGAAACATCTTGGGACAGTTATATTGAACGTTTAGAGCAATTTTTTGTAATTAATGATATTGATGCTAAGAAGAAACATTTTTTGCTTATGTTTATCGGACAAAAGTGCTATGATATGCTTAGAAACATGTGTCAACCCGATAAGCCAGATTTTAAATCGTACTCTGAACTTGTTGCATTAATGAAAAATCATTTAAACCCTAAACCATCAGTTCTCTCAGAACGCTACAAGTTTCATAAAATAACTCAAGGTAGTTCTCAAAGTATCTCTGATTTTGTTTTATGTTTAAAGCGAGCAGCAGTTGATTGTGATTTCGAAAATCGGGACATTTCCTTGCGGGACCAGTTTGTTTCAGGTTTATTAAGTGATAGTTTGAAGAAACGTTTGTTTATTGAAAAAGACCTAACTTTTAAAAGTGCTGTCCAATTTTCTTTGTCTTGGGAAACAGCTGAACAAGATGTAAAGATCGTCCATGTTCAGGAATCAACAGGCATGAATTACAGTAAATTTAATAAATATGGACAGGGAACGGGTAACCAATGGACTAGCAGACCAAGTCAGGGAACGAGTGGTTGTGGAACCAAGAAGCAGACTAAGCAGACACAAAGTCAAAACTCTAACCTCTTTACAAAACAACAACATAGCAGGTCTAGTGCTAGTGGTAAATTTCAAAAGTTTTCAAGTAGTAATATGAAATGTACTTGTTGTGGTAGAACAAATCATTATAGGAGCAATTGTAGATATTTAAAATTTTCTTGTAGATTTTGTAAGCAAAAAGGGCATTTGCTTGCTGTGTGTCCTAAAAAAGGTAAAGATACTTCTTATAGGCATAACAAAATTGATCAAAACCTAAACAATGATGATTCTTCTAATGATGAAGGCAATTGCAATGATGTGCTCGTAAACAGCTC